ATATGTTGCTTAGTTGGCGGGTGATGTTTCACCAGAGACATAGACACCTCCAGCTCAGTTTTCGCATTCATTGATGTTGATATTTTTACAGTTCTCTATGAGTGATGGGATGGTTAGTCATACACCTCCAATGTCCTTATTCTATGGAGGTGCTACATCATCATCCATCCCTCGTCAACAAAGTGTAATTGCTACAGCTGTTGATAATGGTGATGAGACTGAAGAGGAAGAGTAACTTATACGAAAAAATCCTCATCGAAATAGATAGTCATGTGGAACACATTCAAGAAACAAACTTTGATAGACTTGTTTTTATTTATTTTATTTCTTGATGTTTTTATTTAACTATGAATTTTTTATTTATTTTGTTTCTTAATGTTTTTATTTAATTATGGACTTCTTATTTATTTTGTTGCTTAATGTTTTTATTTAATTATATATATTTTTATTTATTTTGTTTCTTAATGTTTTTATTATTTAATTTTTGAATTGTAACGATTGTATTTAATGTTTCTATTTAATTATTTTTATTATTTATCTTGTAATGTTTTTATTTAATTTTCATATGAGTAGCTCATCACTTGAGTAGCACATTAATTAAAAGTAAATGAAAATGAATAACACAATTTGAGGCTTTATAAACAACAATTACATTGTCATAACATCAACTGTTATGTGATGATAAAAGAGATGAACATTTTTTCCTATTATGACCTAGGTTTCTATAATGCCCACATCTTTTGTTTTCTTTGGACGTCTCTCAAATATCCATATCACAATGAATTTGAGTAGATTTTGGACGACCTACCACCCTTAATCAGAACAAATCTGGTACAATCAGAAGCCAATTTTGAACCTCATCTGGGTCTTTCTCATTACCTATCGAGGGGAACTTAAATTCATATACCTTAAATACTACTAAAGGTCGGTATACAGGATCCATAAAACGGTTATAGTCTTGACGAGTATAAGAGCAAATTGCTATGACATGAGAGCATGGATACTTCAGAGCTTGAAAAAACCCACAGTCACATACCTGTCTTGTATATTAACTCTGAACGAGTTAGCTTCAATCCTTTGAAGAGGTCGAGACATTTCTATGACACGAAATAATTCATGGGTTTGAGAAAAACTTGTTACAAACATTCTATTTGATGCATCAATTCTTATTTGTAGATCTACAACTAATCTTGGGTGATAAGTATGGTCGTTTTGTATCCAAGTTAGAGCTTGTCCCCCGAGCTTTGCAAAAAGTGCTCCCAAATGAAAATAAGTCATTTTAACCAAATTTGTTACTGGTAGATGACACCCCCCTTTAAGGTTAAATTGATAGGCTCAATCAAGTTGGTTGTCATGTGTCCATATCGATATCCATCATCGTATGCATTTGTCCACATTTCTTTGTTGATGAGGCTGATGTAATTATACCCTTGCTCATTTTTTCCTCGTAAATCTTAGAGCATGGACGTAAACATTTGAGGTAATAGTTCGTAACCTTAGCGTCAAATGTAGTACTTACTGTTAAGTTCTCATAAAAAATGAAAATGATTGAGAAATGAAATTAGACATTGTGACGTACCTATGCGCACAAGTAATTGACTCTCATCATTATTCTTAAACTTTTCATGATAATTTACAGTAATATGTCGGATACAGTACCAATATTGTACATAGGGTGACTGTCACATTGGACCCAAAGACTCTATTACTGCTTTGATCCCAACTCCGCTATCTGAAATGACATAAATTTTTTCCTCGTGACAACACATAAGCGTAAGTTTTTGAGGAAAAAACCCCAAAAATCTATATCTTCTTATTCAACAAGGGCAAAAATAATTGGAAGAATGTTGTAAATATCATATTAGACAACTGCTTGTAACAAAACTTGCTTGTATTTTCCATACAAGAATGTCCCATCAATTTGAACCACGGGCTTGCAGTATGTCACATCATTAATAGACTGTGGGTAAGTTCAAAAAAATCGATAGAATAGGAATCGATCGCGAAGCACTCGATCATTGTGGTATGTATGACAAGTTTTAAAATCCATTATTGTCTCACGATTCAGTTTATTCACTACCCTAAACCAACTTGGTAGTTCGTTATAAGATGAATCCCACTCGTCGTGAAGTTTTTAATGGCATTCTGCTTTACCTTCCATACTTTTCTATAGGAGACGGTATACCCATATTGAGATTGTATAGCGGAAATCAGTACCACAATAGTTATATGTGAACTTGCTTTGACCATGAGCATAATGGCTTGGCAGATAATGTCAGAGTTCAAGTTGGGATAGTCATGGTCGATCCCTCTAACACAACATGTATGAGGACCTTTTTATATTGTTAGTTCCCATATGTTATTTTTCTTCTTTCTCTTCGATACACGAACCATTCAGTTGCATCTATTATCACGTTGGATACAGTAGTATACATACTTTTTAGTGGTGGATCGGTCGACTTTGGAGTGAATAAAATTACGAATGTTATAATTATTAATTGTATTCATCGTTTCTTTGGATAGAAACTCCATTATGATATATAACTCACCATCATTGACTGATAAGTTAAATCTGTAGTCACCAACATTAGGCATATCTATAAATTTTGGCCAATACATTACACCATAGTCAGCTTCATAAATGTGTGTTGGAGGTTTCGTATGTACCGTATTTATGGGAACTTCATCTACATCATCATCATTGGAGTCCATGTTAAACTGCAGTGACTATGGCTCAACGAATAGTCCAATCTCAGGACCATCCGCACTTGGCTCATGAAGAGATTCTTCTGGTGGTGATAAAGGTTCCTTTGTGATGTCGATATTTAGGTCAAACAAGATGGTAGTTGAATGTCGTCCCCTTGAACTTGAAGGCATCGTGACGTACGATTTTTGAACTAAATGTTGTGTCGTAGACATCTATATATTGAGGTTAAAGAAGCTCGCAGTTGAATGTCTCCCCTGGAACTTGTAGGCATCGTGTCAAATGGGTACTAAATATATTATTGTGTCGAGAGCATCTCCATATGCAGGTCAAAGAAATTGGCAGATGAATATCTTCCCCTTGAACTGAAAGTGATGTTGCCATACATATTGTTCGTTGATCCACCTCGGTAGAGATCGTAACAAGTTACTGATGAATGTCTCCCTATTGAACTTGATAAGATTGTATCAAGATGTGGCTTCCCATTAACGAGTTAAAATCATTACACATTATCGTATTTGTGGGAACTTTATCGACATTGTCCTCAGAGTCCATGTTAAATTGTGATGATTCTGGCTCAACGAATAGTCCAGTCTCAGCATTATCTGCACCTGGCTCACGAAGAGGCTCTTCTGATGGAGATGATGATTCATTTATGATACCAATATTTAGGTCGAACAAGCTGGTAGTTGAATGTCTTCCCCTTGAACTTGAAGGCATCGTGTCGTACGGGTTTTTGACTGATTGTTATGTCGCATATATCTCCATATTGAGGTAAAAAAAGCTCGTAGCTAAATGCCTCCCCTGGAACTTGTATGCATCCTGTCAAATGTGTACTGAATAGATTGTTGTATCGATGGTATCTCCATATTCAGGTCAAAAAGTCGGCAAATGAATGCATTCTCTTTGAACTGGAAGCGATATTGCCAAACGGATTGTTCGTGAGCCACCTCGGTAGAGATCATAACAAGTTACTGATGAATGTTTCCCTATTGAACTTGATAGGATGGTACCACGATGTGGATTTCCCATTAACGAGTTAAAATCATTACACATTACTTGAGTTAGATTGCCAACTTAATAAGCTTGTTGAGACATCCCATAGTGAGAGCATAATGACATACCACAAACCACATACACTTCAACAAAATATGGCATACATTTATGTATCAGTGTCTGAATTTTGATTTTGAGCATCAACCATCATAGCAACATCGTCATCGTTGGAGATTTTGAACGTTGTATAAGTTAATGAAAATAGTGCAGTTGGAAGACTGTATTAAAGTGAGGACAATCTTTTAGTACTTCCAACATGAACCTTCCTTGAAATTTTAGTGATTAGCTCCTCAAGAGTGATGTTTCTCTTGAAGGATATTCTGATTGAAAGATTTGATGCGAAGACAACGTCAATTTCATCTTCCCAAATTTCTCTATCATAGTAAAAAATAGTTAAAATACGTCTCATTTTGAGAGTTTGAAAGATTAAAAGTCATATATCTGTAAAAACAATAGCTGAAATAAACTTAATTAAATAAATAGTATACGAATTAAAATATAAACTAATACTAAAAATTTAAAAAAAATACAATAATTTAAATAACATAATTTAATACCGTTATCGTATTGACACAATATCTCGAGATATGATTTCGCCTTCCATTTTACAACTGCAAAAATAATACAAAATAATTAGTACAATAAAATTTGATCAAATAATTAAATATAAAATAAATATAATATAATAAAAAATAATTTTACATTCTAAAAACTATAACAAAATATACTTAGCTTGATAGAATGAATAATGTAAAAGTAATTTTGTGTGATTTGATGCTTGCATTCGGGGGTATTTATAGGGGAGGGGATAAGTGAGATAGTTGGCTCAGATAATAATATAGTGCACAATAATTAATGAATAATGGAAGGTATGCCTCATGATCCACATCTTCTTTGCATGTGTCAGATTTTCCAACGAAAACGCGCTTTATAATCTGCTCTTTTGTTACGTGACGCCAGCTCGGACAGAACCTGCGAAGACACGCTTTATGATTCGTGCTTTTCTACTGTGATACCAGTTCGGACAAAACCTACGAAGACGTGCCTCATAATATGTGTTTTGTACTAGAGCAATAATATTTAGAGAAAAAATATCTTATATTTAATATTTCGTTGTTATGGTGTTATGTGGGTAAAATTGGCGGAAAAAAATATTCCAAAAAGTCACTCCTTGTTACTGTCTTTTCACTTATGTCTCTTATAAGTCGTCAATGAAGCCAATTGAAACGCCATACCTCCCCGTGCTCCGAAAGCTAAACCCCACGTCCGAGTACCAATGGAAAACCCATCGTCCTCTTTCTCTAGCTTTCAGTCTTACTTCAGGGCCCTGGCTCAGACTCCAGCTCGCTTAGCTCGCCGTGCGCCTTCTGTTTCTTCCTCTTACGAAGAGCTGAGTCGGGTGAAGGGCCGTTCCGGCTCCGCCATGCAGAGGAGCCTCCGATGGTATGATTTGGTTGGTCTGGGAATAGGAGGCATGGTTGGATCCGGAGTGTTCGTCACCACCGGAAGAGCCAGTCGCCTCTATGCTGGCCCTGCCATCGTAATCTCTTACGCCATTGCCGGCCTCTGTGCCCTCCTGTCCGCCTTCTGCTACACCGAGTTCGCTGTCCATATGCCCGTGGCCGGCGGGGCTTTCAGCTACTTACGTATCACATTTGGGGAGTTCGCCGCATTTCTAACCGGAGCCAATCTGATAATGGAATACGTGATATCGAACGCAGCGGTTGCGCGAGGTTTCACCTCCTATTTGAGTGCCGCGATCGGTGTATCCACGGCAAAATGGAGGTTCACAGTTGGTGGACTTCCGGAAGGGTTCAACGAAATCGACTTGGTGGCTGCTGCCGTCGTGTTAATCCTCACTCTCATAATCTGTTACAGCACGAGGGAAAGTTCAGTGTTGAATATTATACTCACCGCATTACATATCCTTTTCATAGTCTTTGTGATATTGATGGGTTTTTGGAGAGGCGATTGGAACAATTTCACTCGTCCAGGAAACCCCAACCATCCTTCAGGCTTCTTCCCCTACGGACCTTCCGGCGTCTTCAATGGGGCAGCCATGGTTTATTTGAGTTACATCGGATATGACGCCGTATCCACCTTGGCTGAGGAGGTCCGTAATCCTGTCAAAGATATTCCCATTGGAGTGACGGGTTCCGTGATCGTAGTTACCTTTCTTTACTGCCTCATGGCGGCTTCCATGTCCAAGCTCCTCCCCTACGATATGGTACCATTTCATTTTTTTAGATTTTTTTCCATTATTGATGAAGTATTGGGTTTGGGTTTAATCGGGCGTGGCGATTGAACACGCAGATCGATGTAGAGGCGCCATTTTCGGCGGCGTTCAGTGGGAGATCGGATGGCTGCGAGTGGGTGTCGAGGGTGGTAGGGGTGGGGGCCAGCTTCGGGATACTGACGTCGCTATTGGTGGCGATGTTGGGGCAGGCTCGGTACATGTGCGTCATCGGACGTTCCAGTATGGTCCCCGCTTGGTTCGCTAGGGTCCACCCCAAAACTTGTACGCCTGTCAACGCCTCCGCCTTTCTTGGTACGGATTTCTGTTTCTTTCCTTTTGATTAAAATAATTATTACAGAATTTTCAATTAATAAACTCTTATAGATGAGGGTTCATTGGGCTCTGTGTGCTTTCCCAATTTCCATTGCCTTTTGAGTTCGGCTTCGGCTGTTGCAAATCGTTTCTATTTTTTGTTCAGGCTGTTGCATTTCGAAGACGAGTAAAAACCTTTATTCATTTTATGTAATTAAAGCTTATCATTAATTATTATGTACATGAGTAATAATTAATTAATTTTGGTACCAACTTGACCTAACCACTCATTAGATAGCGCCACGTCATTAGCTACGTGGTTTCTCGAACGACATTTGGACTCCTTTTGTCCCAACTCCTAACTCGTTGATGTTGAAATTTATGAGATTATAAAGTTTTGTATTTTTCCTGTGTATAATGTAAATTACCGTAGGTTTAAAGTTGTGTTTTTTTATCCTGAAGTAAATTTGTTTTAGTAAAGAGTATACAAGCAAAGCTTTTGTGTAGGGCAGGCATGTGATAAGGCAAAAAAACATGTAATAAATTAGGAAAAGAGCAGATGATAGACATTATTGATTGACAACTTCTGCAGAACCTCTTTCATATCTGTTTTAAAGATTTATTCCGACCCTACATTTCTTCAACCATCTTAAATTGTATAAGATAAAATCCCCTTCAATTTGAGCCCATGATAGAAAGTGACCTCTGTTCACCCCACTTGAAAAGCTACCCCACAATCAGGATAGATCGAAAGGGCAACTGAGGAGAGTCGTTTTTTAAAAAATTTAAATTATTATATATTTATTCCATTTTTTATTGATAATTTATTTATTCTTAATAAAATTTTAGAAGTTGTCATCCCTAACTTTCCGTTCCTATCCATAATGACATGGCCTATGACCTGGATGCATATGGTTCATAGGTTTTGGGGTTTACATACGTTGTAGGATGGATGTTTTGACTTACTTTAACATGTGTGGTGTTTTTCTCTCTGTTCCGGTTGGCCTTTTCTGCTTTTATTACCTTTATGAGATATGATTTTGCAGTTAACATATCAGTATCACAATTAATCGTATCGACTTGACAAGTTGCTCATTCAATTCATGACTTCCTTTTTTTTCATTTTCAGGAATTTTCACAGCCGCGATTGCCCTGTTCACTGATCTCAACATCCTCCTTAACCTCATATCCATTGGCACGCTCTTTGTCTTCTATATGGTAGCAAATGCCGTCATCTACAGGCGATATGTCGATATCGGGACGACAAAGCCATGGCCTACTTTATCCTTCCTATGTTCATTGTCCCTCACTTCAATCCTATTCACCCTATCGTGGCATTTTGCAACCTCGGGTAGTTCTAAGTCCTTTCTACTCGGCCTATGTGTCGGGATCGCATCAGCCATATCGTTTGTTTTCCGTTACATGGTACCGCAAGTGCGGAAACCCGAATTTTGGGGTGTACCTTTCATGCCCTGGCTACCATCTATATCAATCTTCTTGAATATATTTCTGTTAGGGTCTCTGGATGGACCTTCGTATGTCCGATTCGGGTTCTTCTCGGCCCTGGCGGTGCTTGTATACGTGTTATACAGTGTTCATGCTAGTTTTGATGCGGAAGCAGAGGGATCATTGGGTGAAAAGAATGGGGAAATGATGAGAGAATCGGTGGAAAGTGAAGAGCCTAGTTACAGAGTGTAAGAACTTTGGCTCACCTTTCTCCTTTATTGTCCTTGTACCCTCTAAACATCCATTTTTGTATGGCGTAGACTTAGAGAAAGGAAAGTGATATATAATATGATTTTGCGGAGACCAATAGGTGCTGCTCCTTTATTTTGTACGCTGTCATGCGTCCACTATTACTTGCTGGCTTGCTGCTGCTTCACCTTAAATTAGTAATTTAAGAAAAAGCAAATTAAGCCAAGCAGTGATAAACAAGTTTTTTCCACTTTGTAGATGAGATCTTTATTTTTATATAATGCATAGAGAAACCTATAATTGATAAGGGTTTGTTGAACTTTGATCGTACTGCTAGTTTTATTTTATTTTATTTTTAAGGATAAGTGTCAAATTAATTAAGCTTTGGAAAACGTTTGGAATCTTGGAAAATGAACCCAGGAATGATACAAGAAAATCAAGTAGAAGATTAGTGATGGGCCTTGATGATGCATTGCCTTACCTATCTTCAAAGATGTAATGGATCCACAACATTAACAATAAAGACAATTTGGAAGTATGCATTTTAAAATTAAATCCTTTTTGTCTACCAGGTGATTGGGTCAAACAAAAATTCCACAAAACAAATATTGTCTTGTCGGATCTATTTGTCTATTTTATATGATTTTCTTAAAAAGAATTTATACGTTTAAAATATCAAGTCTTATATCTATGTTTGACTACATGTCTAATATAAAAATCGAACATGAGATCTCGTATGATTTTATATCTTATCCACTTGGTCTGCCAGCCCTTCCAAGCTCTGATAAATGGTCAAATAGAAAACAGGATAACAAAGATGAAGATATTATTGAAAGTGTGATCTGTTTGAAAATAGTATCATTCAACTTATTTATCCGTCAGAATTTCACCAAATCGTCTTTCACTTCAAATACATCATGAAGTAGATGAAGACTAGATGAACACATAGATGGACTAAATAATATAAGATTAGATTCAGGAATGAACGTAGGATATAATGTTAGGGAGTGAATGATTTTAAGGAGACGAACTTACAAGATTTTAGAGCTGAAAATAGATTATTAATAGAAAATACAAGAAATTAAGTATATGAAAATTTAAAATTATTAAGGGATGAAAATCCCGCCAACGATCTCAAACCATTGATACTATACCTAATCTATCTACGCTATAGTAACCTGTGGACCAATGGAGAACCCCCAAAAAAATTTATATAAACTGGGCCAATATAAACATAATTTTTTTATCTAAAATAATTTATAATAACAATTATATATATACATGAATTAAATCTAGAAAAACATATATTAAATGGATCAATATAATTGTCTTTACACAATTCATGTGTTTTTTGTTTAGGGTTAAACTAACTATTTGGTCACCCGCCTATTACTTAATTTATGTTTTTGTCACTCAACTATTATATTTGTAATATAACCTTACATTTTTTCTTCTATTTTAATTACTTACCATTAAAAAATTAATAATGGTGTTAACATGACATTTTTTTAATTATTTTTCAATCATGATATGACATTATCTTATGATGACACGTCAACATCACTGCTAAATTTTTAAAGACGAGCGACCAAAACAGAACCAAAACGTAAATTAAGTGTGATTTAAAATAAATAATAATTATGTGACCAAAATAAAACCTAATAATTAATAGGTGACTGAATTAGTAATTTACCTTTTTAGGCATAGGGTGGGCCATGGATTAGGTAGGCTTAGGCTTTTTTTTTTAATTAATATGGGATAAGTACAAAATAATATATGTTTAAAAATAACTTTCAATCATTTAACATCGAATGCTTACACCTCTTGCTTTTTTAGTGGTAGAATCCGAGACCTTAAAGAAAAATAACAATTTCTTTACTACATAAATCATTTGGTTCGTGCATGTAGGCCTAGGATTGGTTACACCCTGCTTTGTACTTATTCCAATTGTATTATTATTAAAATAATCATTTCTTTTACTCAAATCCTACTTGGTTAGTTTATTTTTTTATTATTTTTGAAATTGTTTAAAGTGAATATGTGGTAATATTTATTAAAAAAGATTTAATTATTGATAAATTACACATACTATGCGGACATAGTTGCTCTAATCCAAGATTACTAGAGAGAACAACATTCTCTTTTACCAATGAGATCACTTAATAAGTTCGATCGAAATAATTTTAATATGTGGATAGTTCTTTTTTTTATTTTTTTTTAAATTTACAATAGACATTTATCATAATTTTATCACTTCTTATAAAAATATCAACGTGATTTTCTAATTTTGTTTCTTATAAAACTTTTAAAAGATATGATGTTCAAATTAACAAGTTTAACATTATTATATTATCGCGCTTTTTCTGAATTAATCACTTGTATGTGGTATTCGATTTATTGACCGACTAATTCATATCGAGTACTGCAGAGGTGAGAGCGACCCTCCCAACCCAACTTGTTCCATTCCCAGACATCAGGGTTCGAACTCCTGACATTGTTGAAGGGACCTAGTGCCTCATCCTACTGGACCAATTGGTTGTTGGTAATATATTATCATGTTAATTAATACTACATCGAATATTCAATAATATCACATAATAATAATTAGTAAAATACTAATAAATTATTTTTTAACGGCAATTAACTAATATAGTAAATAATGAAAATAAATAAATTATTTATAAAATTTTATATAAACTGTTATTTATAAAAACATAAAATTATATAAATCAAATAAATATGAAGTAGAAAATGAAAAGATATTAACTGAAAAAAAAGAATTTAATCTCAGTACTTGATTTATTCAATGATTCTAAAAAAAATTAAATTTACACTAGGTACAAGTGGATTATAACTCTATATATAAAAGAGTACAAAAGGATAGAACACCTCAATAATAATATGAAATATCAATTATAAATATGAGTTTTCAATCATTATTAATTAAACTTGGAACTGATTAACCATTAATCGAAAATTTAAATGATAGTATAAATAGATAAAATATTAAAAATAATATATATTTTTATAATTAAATGATTTTTTTGCATAGGACTCAAAGCCTCAACTTTACTGGTAATTCGATTCCTAAATCTATTCTTTTAGAAAAGAAGCAAAACTTTTATATTTAAAATTATAATATAATTATATAAAAAGTATAATTATATTTTAGTAATTATATATATGTAAACATGTTTAACTGACAGAAAATAATATATTATACTTTTTTATCATGTTTGATAGTTTAAATTATAATTATATGATTACATTAATTTAAATTTTTTTAAAAATATTAATTATAAAATTGAAAAATAATTATAAGTGCAATTTCAACGATACTAATAAATTACAATAGATCGGGTATCGGTGGTTATTCTAATAAAATAAATTACAAGGCAAACTACACATTTAGCAATTAAACAATTATTTTTGTTCTGTTTTGATACTTAAATTTTACTTTTTTTTAAATCATACCTAATGTTTAGTTTAGGTTTCAGTTAAAAAATTAACAAAACTTTTGACGTGATATTTAATTTATTTTTTCAATGATAATGTGACACTACCTTGTAGTAATACATCGACATCTATTAAATTTTTAATAGCGGATACCAAAATGAAACATAACTAGACGTTATGCATGATTTTAAAAAAATAATAAGTATCAAAAATGAAACATAATTAATAATTTAAATACTAAACATGTAATTTACCCTAAATTATATTGAACTGTAATATTGGTTTTGAAATTGATCCTTAACAACCGTTACTCTTTTCGTAAAGAAAAAGAGGGGTAGATGATATCAGCTTTCAGTCTGAATAGAAGCAGGGAATAATAAAAACCATTAATTACTTAAATCCACAGAATTGAAAGTGTGACGGTGGAGAAATAAAGGGGTGCTGATGGGAATTTACTGCTTTTCTGTCTGTTTCTGTAAATACAACCGTTACTAACCTTTTTCCGTTTGGCATTTTCCCAGTCCACTTTGAAATACAAAAACAGAAAATCCTCCGCCTTCGATCAACACGTGTCTTCTACCTCTTGGTTTTATGGTTTCAGTTTCACCACTCCCTTTTTCCTCACATATTTTAACTTTTAAACAAATTTTTAATAATTAAAGTGATTATAAAATAATACGTTATAATTTAAAAAGATTTAATGGTTGATAATGCATAAATTTTATGATATAACTATTTGAATTTATATTTTTAAAATAATAACACTTATTTTAATTAATATAATCATTTAATGAGTTCAAATGAAAAAAAATTAATCAAATTTAAATTCGGGTCTACATTGTTTCTTAAATAAAAAAATTCACATGCAACGTTTTTGTTTATTTTTGGCTTTATATCAGATACGTGTATAAATGTATAACTGAAATTTAATTATGTAATCACACCTAATAAAGTCCAACAATTAATTAGTCTAATGAGAAGAGGTACTAGATCCTTTAAATAAGATTAAGGATTCGAACCCAAACGATTGCGAATAGAGTAAATTGGGTTGGGAGGGTCACCATTACATTTGCAGTATCCGATCTAAATTAGTCGATCAATAGATTAGATACATGTGGTTAAACAAAAAAAATCATACCTAATAAATTTTAATTATTTATATTTATATTATATGAAAAAACTCTATATTTTATATATAGGAATGAATAAAATTTATTTGGCTTGAAAATTTTATTTCTTTTAATTTTTAATCGTTTAAGTTAATTTGAATTTTAATTTCGGTCTTTGAGTTCAATTCAATTTCGGATTTATTAAATCGAAAAACTAAATTTTACAGTTTAATCATTGATTTTCTTTATCACCAAAGTCGTTTGGTTCGTACATACATTATTATATTATAGCTATGTAGCCTAAATTCCTCTTATTCAAAATATTTGTTTAGTTGCCTTCCGGGTTCTCAAGGCTTCACCTTGACTAATCCGGATCGACCCTGGTCGCATACCTGACTTTGGTGGGTGAGTCTCCCAACAAAGATTTTTTGCAGACACAATAATTTTTTTAATTTAATACCTCAACTTTATATGATTTTCTTATATCTTCAATTACCATTTATTTTAAGTT